GACACGGACATGTGTGAAGGAGTTCATACAAAATAAACGCAACGATATTTTTTGAATCCCTGACGGAGCACGGCCCGTCCACGTCCCGGACACGGCCCGGATATGTATGGATAGACCTTAATACCACAACGTGCCACTTTTCAAGCTTAATATTTAAGGTTTAAACTCTTCAACATGTTGAATTTATTTCTAATTATAGCATAAGGTATATGTAACAGATGGGCACAATTTGACTTTCTTAATTATTTGATATATTTTTAAGCGTAATAATAATAATATAATAAATACTGAGAATGAATAAATATTATTACATGTGGGGAAATGACCTTTGCTCTCCTCAAATTTATAACCTTGATTTTTGGGGATTCTGAATAATTTGCATTGGGGACGCTGCAAATCGGAGGGAAGAATCCGACGGTATTTCGTCTCCCCGCAAAAGTATAGAGAGCGCGCCTTCAGACAATCGGATCGGTAATAAAATCGGACGCTATTTTCGACTCGCACGCCACGTATTGAGTGTTCATACAATTATATGGTACGATCGCCTTCCGGTAGTCGGATCAGACTATCGGATGAAAAAAACGGACGTGTATTGTCGCACTAAGGGTCGTATTCCAGAACTCTACTCAATGCTCAAATCAGGATTTGAATATGATTTCAAGTACAGGAAATACGACCCTAATGGCAAAGACTTGAGTATGATTTGAGCATTGAGTAGAGTTCTGGAATACGACCCTGAGTATGCCTTTATATAGCCTTGGCGGAGTTAAAGAGAAGGCTCGGTCCACATAATTTTATTGTAGGAAGGCAGAAAGAACAAAGCGAGGAAAAGACTGTAACAACAAACAAAGATATTTTTATATCTTTGTTTGTTGTTACACTCTCTACCTATCAAACGTAACAAGGAAAACTTACATATATTAAAAGGTAATATAGTGTAGCCTGTATTCGCATAAATATTATAGTTATTTAGTATCGGATGCTTTATAATCAATTAATGTTTCGTAAGGCTTTAAATTATGATTGCGGTTTTTACGACAGACTCGTACTTTCTCTTCTAAATTTTGATGGGAGTGACGACGGAACGAAGCAAAGTAAGAATGACGAAGGAAAAGAATTAGAGAACCATTCAAAATTTCAAAAAAAAAGCGGCCAGGAACCAGAGAAAAGGGTGGGATAAAAAGGTGGGATGACGATGAAAGAGGTCGCATCGTCACAAACTAGTATCGAAAGTAATATCTACGAATGTCATATTAGATGTATGGGAAATTTTGAATATTTCTACTTTTTTTTTTTTTTTTTTTATTGTGACTCGGCAAAATGACTGCACCGCGCCTGATGGAAAGTGCGAATACAGTCCAGAGATGAGAGTAACGGATGGAAAACACAAATATCTTCACTCCGTCACTATCATTTTGCCGGTCTGGCCAAATGCTTCTTCACACTACGTTTGAAGGACCCGATGTTATAGAGGGGAATACATGCGCCGGGAGGAGTTTTATTTATTTTGTAACTATTCATGTCGTTTTATTAATTAGGCACGCTTTCGATACCAGTAGTATAAAGTTTTTTTGATATCTCTTATAATTACTGAATAATTGCCTGGGCACACTTAACGATTACACCTGTGTAGTTTAGGAAATATAAGTATTTATAATCGTTGACTCAACTGCTACCTGCGCGGATCTTATTTTTACTCTTCCGCTCGTTCGTAAGGCAGATTCCCCCGAGAAATATGAGCAAGAAACTCTAGGGGTTGCTCTTTATAAACAACATTTGTACGCATTCAACTTGCAGAAATGGAGGTCAAATGCACACTTACATTACAATAAAAATATATTTGCAGCCATCGCGATATTGCCTATTCTCAAAAAATACGTAATATAATTATTTTGAAACAGAATAGCAAAATTGGGAGAAAGAAATACGTTACTTTGCAACATATTCGTGTCTTGTTGCAACGAAATTAATTTTCGGTTTTAATGAATATTTATATTAAAATACAAGTTGAAACGCGTTACTTCCTTGTGGAATGTGATGTTAGTATTAGGGGTTAAAGTATGAAATTGCCGTTTTATTGCAATAGGTTCT